GAAGCAAAGATGGCGAGATTACATCTCACATCCTTTGGGCATGTTGTCAGGAGGGATCAGTCCCTGGAGAAGGACATCACGCTTGGTAAAGTAGAGGTCAGCGAAGAAGAGGGAGACCCTCAATGAGATGGATTGACACAGTGGCTGCAACAATGGGCTTAAACCTAACAATGACTGTGAGGGTGGCGGAGGACCAGGCAGTGTTTCATTCTGTTGCACATGGGGTCACTATGAGTCAGAACCGACTCAATGGCACCTTACAACAACAACATACAAAACCAACAGCCAACATTATTCTCAACGGAGAAAAACTGAAAGCATTCCCCACGAGAACGGGAACCAGACAAGGGTGCCCTTTATCACCTCTCTTATTCAATACTGTACTGGAAGTCCTAGCCAGAGCAATAAAGCAAGAAAGGGAAATAAAAGGCATCCAAATTGGTAAGGAAGAAGTAAAATTATCCCTATTTGCAGATGATACCATCCTATACACAGAAAATCCCAGAGATTCTACAAGAAAGATACTAGAACTAATAGAGGAATTCAGCAAAGTGTCAGGGTACAAGATCAACATGCAAAAATCAGTTTGATTCCTCTACACTAACAAAGAGAACTCTGAAAAGGAAGTCAGGAAAACAATACCATTTACAAAAGCCCCCCAAAAGATAAAATACTTTGGAATAAACCTAACCAGGGATATAAAAGACTTACATGAAGAGAACTACAAAACACTACTGCAAGAAACCAAAAGAGACCTACATAAATGGAAGAACTTACCATGCTCATGGATAGGAAGACTTAACAATGAGAAAATGTCAATACTACTCAAAGCGATCTATAGATACAACGTAATCCCGATCCAGATTCCATCAAGATTCTTTAAATAGATGGAAAAACTGATCACCAGCTTTATATGGAAAGGAAAGAGTCCCCAGAAAAGCAAAGCACTACTGAAGAACAATGAAGTAGGAGGCCTCACACGTCCCAATCTCAGAATCTACTATACAGCCATGGTAGTCCAAACAGCCTGGTACTGGTACAATGACAGACAGCCTGGTACTGGTACAATGGAACAGAACTGAGAAACCAGAAGTAAATTCATCCACCTATGGACAGGTGATCTTCGACAAAGGACCAGAATCCTTTAAATGGAGAAGAGAGAGTCTCTTTAACAAATGATGCTGGCAAGACTGGATATCCATTTGCAGAAAAATGAAACAGGATCCACAGCTCACACCATATACAAAAACTAACTCAAGATGGATCAAAGACCTAAATGTAAAACCTAAAACTATAAAGATCATGGAAGAAAAAATAGGGGCAAACTTAGGGACCCTAATTTATGGCATAAACGGACTATCAAACGTAACTAAAAATGCACAAACAGCAGAAGATAAACTACATGACTTGGACCTCTAAAAATGAAACTCCTATGTGCATCAAAAGAACTTCTCCAAAAGAGTAAAAACAGTAACTACAGACTGGGAAAAAAATTTTGGCAACAAAACATATCTGTGAAGGGACGAATCTCTAAAATTTGTAGGAAACTTCAACCCCTCAACAACAAAGAGACAATCTAATTTAAAAACGGGCAAAGAACATGAACAGACACTTCACCAAAGACATTCAGGCGGCCAACAAATACACAAAAAGATGCTCCAGATCATTAGCCATTGTTGTTGTTAGGTGCTGTCGAGTTGGTTCCAACTTATAGCAACCCTGTGCACAACAGAACAAGACACTGCTTGGTTCTGTGACATCTTTACAATCGTTGTTATGCTTGAGCCCATTGTTGCAGCCACTGTGTCAATCCGTCTCATGGAGGGTCTTCCTCTCTTTCACTGACCCTCTACCTTACCAAGCATGATGTTCCTCTCCAAGGAATGGTCACTCCTGATAACATGTCCAAAGTATATAAAACAAAGTCTTGCCATCCTTGCTTCTAAGGAGCATTCTGGTTGTACTTCTTCCAAGACAGATTTGTTCGTTCTTTTGGCAGTCCATGGTATATTCAACAGTCTTCGCCAACACCATAATTAAAGGCATCAATTCTTCTTCAGTCTTCCTTATTTATTGTCCAGCTTTCGCATGCATACGAGGTGACTGAAAACACACCACGGCTTGTGTCAGGCACACCTTAGTCCTCAAAGTGACACCTTTGTTTTGTAACTCTTTTTTTTTTTTTTTTTTAATGAAATCACAAGCTTGGTTTATTAGTTATGTGTTTTCCTATGACATATGCGAATAAAACATAATCATCACCTAAAATTACCATGTATACTAGTGCTACATTTGTCACACT